AGTCTTTTTTTCAGAAGATGCAAGCACAGCTTACCCTGAGCAAAAATATCTAGGCTGCCCTGTAGTAATTTTCATAACATTCTAAAAGTCGGTCACCAAATAGTCTTCTGTCCATCAAGCCTTAAAGAAAAATAAAAAGACAGATATCAAAATGCAATTAGAAGTAATTAGATGCCAATAACACAGTGCAGTATTTGTTAAAAAGCACTCCTTTAATTTCTAAGATGATTTGTAATGTGCTGCATCTGCCTTTCATGGGTCATGTTGTTGAATTCAATGTGAGTTTTGGGTCCATATTAATTATCTTTCTGTTTAAGAAAGAGTGTGGCTGCAAATTATAAATTAATAAGCAAAGCGGAGCCCGTATTTTCAGTAATTTGTCAACACGTACGCACTGATAGCGTGAGACATTTGCAATGGCACGGTCTGCCGCTTGCTCTGTTCTTGCCATGCAGAAACATTTTTCTGAAAAGCACTTTGTTTCCCAAACATCAGCTGAAAAGGGTGATCAGGCATACTAATGAATTAACATAAATTAAAACCTATTAAGAACTGCCTATAGCAATTATGGCTGATTAGTACACCAAGTTAAAAGGTGAGCTGTCATGCTGTTTCAATCTACTACTAACCAGGCCAGAAAGGAAAAGGACTTGCTGCTGTACTCATGACCAAATCACAAATATAACTGCCAATTGCCAATGGCTGGTATCTTAACCTAATGTGGGGAGATATAGAGGGATTTGTCCTCATACTCTTGAGACTTTCATCTGAAGCACTTCAGATGCGCTATGTACTTTGAAGTCTATTTGTGAAGATTTACAGTTGGGTTATGAAGAGCAGAGAAGTTATTATTGTTTTGCCTCAGGTTTCCAGTGCAATGAACAGAGCCGTCATTCTTTTAATAAAAAGAAAACTGACCAGGAGCAGTCTGTCATGGCTTCTGACACCGAATTCAGCCCAATACCAATGCATCGTCCTGTTCCTTTGCGTATTCCAGTGTTTCTCTGTCGTTTCCTGCTGGAAATATATCTTCCTAAAGTGCAGGAAAGTTCATGAAGTTAATCCAAGCTGCCCTAATTTTTAACAATGGCTTCAAGTGCCAGCTGTCATTTACCTATGCAAAACCAGCTACATTAAAGTATTAAAGTACAGAGTACCAACACTTGGCAGGATGAAAGATTTCCATGCTAAATGTGAAAAGCACAAGTACAAAAGAAAAAGCCTTAGGCTTTGCAATTAGCTGCCCCTCGATTATTGCTAGGTTTATAACTGAGCTATGAGTCATATCTTTCTTGTTTATTCTAGAAAACATTAATTTAAAAAAATAGATTATTTTTTGCTCTGAGGCACAACAGATTCATTAACCTAATTTTTTTGTGTGGTGGTTCATACAGGAAACAGAGACGAGCAGCAACAATACAAAATGTTTTCATTTATATGTCAGTCAGTGGGATGGAGCACTAGAACAAGAATAACAGAAATGGAGAACCGCAGGGAGAAAAATAGTCCCTATCTCTGAAAATGTCATCTGAGCCAATATAATTAGGTCCCTCTCATGTACTAAGCTGAGAGCTTCATGAAGCCATTTTGCAGTGCATCAGCACCCATAATACAATTTTCTGCCCCATTTGTTTCTTTCACCCCTTAAGCTCTTAATGAAGAAAGAGAAAAACCTACCCGCACAGTCAACTAGAACACAGCAAATTAGGGGACTATTCCGCCAATCTTACTTGTATCTTAGTGCTCTAAGAATTCCATCATTCCAGGCCTAAGAAGATCCCACTGAGTTAGCTTCAATCACATGGCTTGGCAGCTAGCTCCCAACTCCCACAGTCCTCTATGTAAAGAAGGGTCTTGTGTCCTACATTTCCACTTGTGTCCCCCGATCCTTCTGTCGCTGCCGATCGTGAGGCTGAAACTGAGCAGAGTTGGACCAATGTCTTTCAGGATTTGTTCCAGAGAAGCCTACAATTTTAGTCTGTAAAAATTAACTTTAGAAGTTAAAGAAACACATTTAATATCTCTTATGAAAGCATCATAGATTAAGTTCCTAATTTGCCTTTACAATTTCTCTGCTTGTGCTACATTGCAGTAAACTGAATGCTCACCGACTCTCTTCCAAAATTGGATCTCCCTCAGAACAACTTGAGACAGAACCAGTCTTAGCTGATCTTTAAACTAGCACCACTCTGTAGACAATGCAACATGTCCTCTTTTCCAAATGCATGCCTAGCTTCACTACCTGGATGTCTCTACAACAGCTGGGCATTTCCCTGAAGCAATCTGTATGAAGTATCTTTTGCTCGAATTAATTCCAGTTATGGGTCCAGAATTTTAACTAATCCTCCATACTGATTAATCAATATTTATGGGGAGGAAACTAGAGCCATGACTTAACTGTCATAACTGGGCACAAATTACATGTAACAATGTTACAATGGGATTGAAACAGCGTGGGCCATTTGCCTGGGTATTTTATCATAAGAGATCAATTTCATACAGCTGTGGCGCAACAGTCATGGCTATGTGCAATTACACAACACATCCAACCTAAATAATAATAATACAGACCTACTTGAATTAAACTACTGCTCAGTATTTGAATTTGAATTTCACTTGAATTTCAAGTGGTCAGGATGTAGAATACTAGAAGTCTATAAGAAATCTGTCTTGTTCTAAGCATTTAGCATGGATCCATTTAATCACAATCCCTTCAAATATTAATTTAAAACCTTTCCAGTTAAACAGCAACATGATCTATAGTCAGGAAATGCTATAGTGGAAATGCTCGGAGAGGTTCTATATCACAGATCACCAGAATGGCTTTTTCCAGCCATTAATGTGTGATTGACCACAAGACCTCGTAGACTGCAAAGGATGAAATTAAACCCAGAGTTTTTTGTGCACTTAATGTCTTTTTTACAGATCGCCACTTTAGGGTTTAAAGTGGGGGTTATTTAAAGCTGAAACTCGATTAAAGTGAGAAATAATCAGAATCACCTTCATAATTCCATGTCTTGGTCTTTGTGGTGCTTCTAAACCACTAAATGAGCTTGTCTTTATTTTTATGCAATGGCACAGTGCGTGGAAATATGCAGCATGTGTCTTACATTTGGTATAAAAAGCTGTGGTTACCATAAGTGGTGCATAAGCCCAAGTAAAGATCTTTATTGCCGAATTTCCACATGTATAGTTTGATAGATTAAGACTCTCCTCATTTCTTAATCATCACTTTTCACAGTGAACTACCACGTGCTGAGATGAATGAGTGATCTGTCTGGCAAAGTACCAGTGTGATTTTACAAGCAAAACTACTCTTCATAAATGTGCGAAGAATCTTGTTTCACAAACATTGTGGGAATACTTCGCTCTGGTCCTATAGTTCCGATTTAACTCTGCAATAAATAATAATTGAGATTAACCCTCATTTCTTTTTTGATTCCCACTTTTTGCAGCGTTACAGACCCCTCTTCTTGCTAGGATGGAAGGCAGTGGCTGTGCCTGGGGGACTGACGTGGTGCCACCTGGTGGCGCAGGGGAGAACAGCAGTGTCTTCGAGGTGCCAGTGCAGAACACCTCCTCCAACAGCAGCTCCCAGTTCGCAGGGGTGAAGCTGCTGCAGTCCTTCAAGCCCCTTATCATCCCCTGCTATGCGCTCGTGGTGCTGGTGGGGATCTTTGGCAACTACCTGCTCCTCTACGTCATCTGCCGCACGCGCAAGATGCACAACGTCACCAACTTCTTCATTGGCAACCTGGCCTTCTCCGATATGCTGATGTGCGCCACCTGCGTGCCCTTCACTCTCGCCTACGCCTTCAACCCGCGGGGCTGGGTTTTCGGACGCTTCATGTGTTACCTGGTGTTCCTCATCCAGCCCGTGACCGTTTACGTGTCTGTGTTCACTCTAACCGCCATAGCTGTGGACAGGTGAGCAACACACAACCGGACCCCTGTGATGTTCTGTGACAGTGCACCAATCCTATATACTGCAACAGTGTTTGGAGCAGCACAGCTGAACGAATGTACTCAAGACATTTTTAACCAGGCCGGCTGTAGGTGTTGAAAAGCAGCAGTTCTGCTCTATTGAAAGGGTTTTAGGCTAGTAGGAAATCTGCAACTTTTCACAGCCGACCGTTTCTTAAAAGGGCCATATTAAGCAAGTAATTGGAAGATTCCAGTTATGTGAGTGCAGGCATGGAAGACCAGGTCTTGTGAATGGCTGGTGTAGTGCATGCTGTGAGTAACCTGCATGCTATTTGGTAGTTTAACATCTTGCAGCCTTCTTTAAAATCTACATAGTAATGAACTACAGGAGGCTGAAATTTGTAAGGATTTGAGGACCCAAATATTTAAATACAAATACAAGACAAGAACAGAGATGTACTATTTCGTCCCTACCACCTGTCAAGACATTCACTTCACATTGATAACATTACATTTTAAGAAATGCCTGCACTGTATATATAGAGAGAGAGATAATGGACCAAATGTGTGGCAACAAATGGTAAGAGAAAATGGCAGTCAAGGAAATATAGTTAATTATTTTTCACTCTAATCCAAGGTTTGCGAATACCCATTAAACAGATAGCCAGTTCCTCTTTACAATCTGCCAAAAGCATACCAGAGCAAGCACTGGAACACTGAATGAGGTTTTTGACACGTGGGCAATTAATGTTGACATCAATATAATAATTGCTAGCATGTCTTTTTTTTTAAATACACCATATTTTGGCATTTACGTTAATAAGACAAGATTGCTCATTAAAAGCATTTGCATAACTTGAAAAGGGAAGCGTGTCTATTCAGAGACATCCACATATTCAATTTGCATGGACACAGATTTAATGCAGCAAGTTCACTACAGATTCCCCTGGTGTGTTGATGCTCTAGAAGGTGAAGTGGCACTCCACATTTGGCAGTGACACCCCCCCAAAAAATTGCATCTTGTGAAAACACAAAATGAACTGTGAAGCGTCTGCCTGGTGAATTCTAAGATAGGTTCCATCCTTCCATCTTCGAACTGCTTTGTCAAGTACAGGGCTGCAGGGGAGCTACAGCCCAGCCAGCAAGAAATGAGCGAAAGGCAGAGTATACATTCGCCATGACACCATTCCACAGCAGGGCAAACGCTCTGACACAAACATGCGCACGCTCACTCCTAAGGCCAATTGTCCCAGAAAAAAAACATTAATAATAAGAATTGCTTACACTTGTATAGTGGTTTTCTGGACACTTCTCTCAAAGCACTTTAAAGATAATGGGAACTCCCTTCCACCACCACCAATAGGTAGCCCCCCCGGATGATGCAAAAGCAGCCATAGTGCACCAGTACGCTCACCACACACCAGTCATCAGTGCGGAAGAGAACAGAGTGATGAAGCCAGTTCAGAAATGGGGATTTTTAGGAGGCCATGAATGGTAAAGGCCAATGGGAAATTTGGCCAGGATGCCGGGTTAACACCCCTACTCCTTTTGAGAAACGCCCTGGGATTTGTAAAGACCACAGAGAGTCAGGACCTAGGTTTTCAGTTTCATCCGAAGGACGGTGCTCTTTTACTGTATAGTCTCGTCACCATACTGGGGACTAAGACCCACACAGACTAGAGGATGAGCGCCCCCTGCTGGCCCCACTTACACCTCTTCCAGCAGCAACCTTAGTTTTTCCCAGGAGGTCTCCCATTCAGGTACTGACCAGGCTCACCTGTGGGCTTCAGCGGGCTGCCAGGTGTGAGTTCCAGAGGTATATGGTTGTTTTACCTACCAGTATGTTTTGGGGCTATGAGGGAAACCGGAGGACCCGGAGGAACACAGGGAGAAGATGCACAGTCATGGAGAGGCAGGAATGCCACCGTGACAACCAGTCTGGAAGGTGGCGAGTTAAAAACAAGGATGTCACGTTAAGACGGCTGCTGTGACAAGAGTACATCTGTGCCATTATAATTAAAAGCAATTTCTTTTAATTTTCTTCAAAGACATCTGTTTCCAATTAGAAAACACCACAGCCAGACACTGATCTGAGACTCACAGCTGTGCTTTAAAAGCTTGGAAAGTGAGTCTTGATTATTAATTATTACCAGTAACTTTTTACATTTTTTAAATATTTAGCTTTGGTTTAAAACAACACAAATCCACCCCTTTGTGCTCATGTCTCCAAAATCATTAACAACCCCCACACTCAATGAAATGCAACAACCATGTCTGCAAATACAAAGTCGGCTGTTACTTTCTACACAGCCTCAGCAGTGTTTGCCAATTCTCCTTTTTTTGGTCTGCAAATATGACCGGTTTGCTAGCTGTACCAGACTCTAGATGACTGATATGCATTAGGAAGAACAGTGGTCCTTGTCATCTGTGCACCAATATTCAATCTAAACACATGAATTTCCCAGTGACAATGGTAACAAAATTCCCCAACAGACAATCAGTGAAAACCACTCTACGATGCTACCAAGGTTTCACTGAACAAAGAGAAATCCCAATTTCATCTGAGGACATTTACTATGAAAAGCGATCTCTGATGTGATGCATCAGATACATCTGAAGGCCTGGGTGCCAGGATACTCCAGTAGCAGTGATTTGTCACTTGTCTCTGTCTTGCCTGCAGGTACTACGCCACAGTGCACCCTCTGAAGAAGCGAATCTCAGTGCCAGCTTGTACCTACGTCCTAGCTGGTATCTGGCTGCTGTCCTGCGGTCTGGTGGCGCCTGCCATCGCTCACACTTACCACGTGGAGTTCCAGGAGGAGGGCTTCACCATCTGCGAGGAATTCTGGATGGGCCAGGAACAAGAGCGCCTGGCCTACGCTTACAGCACCCTCATCATGACCTACATCCTGCCCCTGTCTGCCCTCTGCATCTCCTACCTCTGCATCTCCGTCAAGCTGCGCAACTGCGTCGTGCCTGGTCACCCCACGCAGAGCCAGGCAGAGGCCCAGCGTGCCCGCAAGCGCAAGATCTTCCGTTTGGTGACCCTGGTGGTGGCCGCCTTCGGCATCTGCTGGCTTCCCATCCACGTCTTCAACGTGCTGCGCGACATCGACATCAATCTGATCGACAAGCACTACTTCCTGCTGATCCAGCTGCTGTGCCACTGGTGTGCCATGAGCTCTGCCTGCTGCAACCCCTTCCTGTACGCCTGGCTGCACGACCGCTTCCGTGCCGAGCTGCGCAAGATGTTCACCTGTCGCCGCCGCATCGGGATTCCCACCAACAACTGTGCCACTGCCAGCGTGGTGCTCTAGCCTCCAGGGGAGTCTGGCGCTCACCGGGACTCGGAGCGCAATTGATCACTGACTTGGCACCACAGAAAGCCTGGTACAGTCCCTGGAGTGAGGCTGAAGAGTAGCTGAGAGAAGACACTCTGAGGACCAGAGGCTACATGTGAAGGTTGGAGAGACTCCAGAGAGTTGTATACTCAATCGGGGTCAAAACAGCAAAAGCATGAGGTGACAGTTAGTCCAGTAACAGCAAATCAGCCAGGTGGAACACCATAACATGGGATGTAGGAATTAGGCAAACCGTCGTTGAATGACTCTGTAAAGGTGCACTGTGTTGAAAACTCTGTACAGTAAAGGGCATGACGACCCATTCTCAATCTCAATACCAGCATCTCTAAGCAAAGTGGCCAAAAGACAAACCATTTATTTTATACTGACAAGGCAGACGATGTACACGTTTAAGACCAGAGGTGAATGTATTTCTACATGTGGATGTTCAGGAGAGATGGAATCGTTTTTGATGTAGCTCCTTGTGGAATTTATTTAGTTAAGTGGAAAGTATTCTAAGCAGAAGCAGGAAACCAAAAGCAGAGATGCAGAAAATATAATTATGAATATATAAAAAAACAACCCCAGTGGAAATTACAGGAAAGTGGTACATTTTCTGTGCAAATATAAACAAACAAAAGAACAGGCCTCCTGACATAGCTCAAAGAAAGTCAGGGAGGAATGTTTACTCTCAGCTGGAGGCAGTCCTGTATGACCTCTAAACTCCCGACCTTAACAAATAGCTCACGTGAGAGTCTGCATCTATGGTTGCAAAATACTGGATACTTGCAGGAAGCAAGAAGCTTGTCCTGTCTTCAAACCACACAAGCTCTGATCTCCTTAAGTTCCATTTTATTGAAAAATCAGGCAGGGTGAAAAATCTAGCTCATGTGAGACACTGTCTGTGGTCGCAGTAGTGAGACTGAACAGAAAGGAAGGATCAAATTGTGGGAAAACGTTAACATTATCAATAGAGGCAAAATCCAAGACTACCAGAAGAACCACTTTATTCTGTTCCCTTTATTCAAAGTGTTGAATAAGATCATCAATAATAATATAAGTAAATGTCAGAAAGAGGAGACAAACTGGGAGTGCAAAGCTTTATACAGAATGAATAATTGACTGGAGGCTATAAATCAGACATGTCACCATGAGATAAAAACAGCAAGAGGCTTACCTTTCTTAACCAGCTCATGATGGAATGAAGGAAAAGATGTACATTGATAAGCTGCTGATTTGGAGGTCACATATGAACTTCAGCTTTCCTACGGCTGAAAGCAATGGTGACTTTTCACTGTACCACTGTTACCCCTCCTGACCCTGCTCCCAGCGCTGATCAGCCGGTTGGCTGATCCAGAGAGCTCCGTTTTTCTGAGACCCACACAGCTGGGTGATATCCGATCTGTTTCACTAGCTGCAGAGAGGCTCGTGCACACTTAATGGGCTGCAGTACTGAAAACAAGGAGAGTGAGAACTGTGAATCAGAGGAAGAAGCTGGTAAAATCCTTAATAAAGACTTGAAGGGGAGCCTGAATATAGACGATGAACATTTGTGTGTTTCATTGTATGATTTTGTACCCTTAGTGTAAAAACATACATAAAAAGCACTTAACTCTCATCTAAGTGCTGCAATGAAAAACCACAGAAGATATTCTGAAATTTACCAAAAGAAGAAAATTTAAAGAAGGATTTTCTGCCAACACTGTCCCTTAAGAGGAAGCCAGTGTGTTTTTATAGATTGCCAAGAGAATGTCTAACTTGAAGTTTAAAATTCTAAATTTCTTTTGGAAATCTAAGACCATCCTCAAAAGGGACGGTTATGGGCAGATAATCAGATAATCAAATTTAACTTTTAACACCTTGGCATTTGACCCCCCCTCCTTAATACATTAGACTGGCCAGGTGATCTACTGTATCTGAGCTAACCTACAGAAGTGACAGGTTAAGGTGGTCTAACTGGGGATAAGAAACAAAATCCAAATGTATAGTTTCCATTTTAAAAGGGCGGGGGGGTGCTTAGCATGGGCTTCTGAATTAAGACGAATGATGAAACTAATAAAAATGCATTTTAAGCCCACGGTTGAACTGAAAATACATCACTACATTTCCAGGTCAAAAAGTTAAGAACAACATTCAACAGCTTCCTCTGATAATTGCCTTGGCACTTGAGCCCAAGCATCAGAGCGCGTCTTGAAAAGAAGGATAAAATTATTACTGGCAATTTCATCTCAAACAGCGTGCAATTACCAGGCATCTTTGGGAAACTGTAAACTCAGCGATTACTGTCAATAATGTTAGCTTTAATGATGCAACTCCTGGCAGTTTGCTGGCAGCTATAAGATATCAAACAGAAACTTTCAGTGTGAGGGGAAAATGAAAATAACCTAAAGAGAAAAGTAAAAAGAAAAAGTATTTCTTGCCATGAACACTGCCTGGTTCTTTGCTCTGTGCATGGGTAGCTTTGATGTTCAGTGGTATTGCTTGAAGACAAAAATGTCAACTTTGATAACAATCCAGACTTTCTGGAAAGAAAGTAATATTATATTTTTGCTTTCCAACAGAATACACATCAGTTTGCACTGTGCAGTCTCCTTGTTCTCAATCCTTGCCTGTGCCCGACTGGTGTGGTGTCGACCTTCGACTATTCCCCCACCACCACAAGCTTCCACCAACAGTCTCTGAAGTACACTGGTCCTGTTTGTCCTCAGGACCATCGCTTCATCTATTCTTCTCTGGAGGTCCATGTGGGATCCTTCCTCATCCATTCAGCTGCAACAAACATCAGTACTCCCTACTCCTTCCTATTCTACTTCTGTTTTAGTGCCGATGTCCTCACTTTACACTTTCCTGGCTGGCTCAGTGTTTTCTGCCACCCTCCACAGAATTCCAGTCTCCATTCATCCAGGCCTTCTTGACTCTACTGCCACCTGTTTGCTGACTTGCATTCCCTGACCAGCATCTTATATGCACATGAATTAGAATTTGACCAAACTACTGAAACGGTGTTGTTAAACAGAAGTTCAGGGAGAGGGTAAATTGTAATCTCACACTTCACATCTTACACATAAATATTGTTTGCTGAGCTTTGTGTACATCGTTCCTCACACCCCTCCCTCCACTCCATCTTCACCCTTTGCAGCTGTCTCCTTGATTCATTCCTTGCAAGTGAGTGGAGTTTTGTTACCCTTGAACATTCAGCGTTGTCATGTCCTCAACCAGGCGAGTTAACACCACACCTTAAAATATTAAGTATGCTATTCCTTCATCCGTCTCGTCGTGTTCATATGAATTTGATTGAACAACTAAAATATTATGTATATATTATGCTCACAGAAATCTATTGTATAGCAACCTCACATGAC